TGCTATGATCTATGAGTACCCCATACTTTAACAGAGCAGAATATGCTTGCTCGAGTCGGCCCACTATTTAAATAGCTTATAAGGTGTTTCAACCGCCTTCTTAGCATGCCTTCGTGGTGTAGTGGTCAGCACGCTTGGCGCGTAGTCGAGAGGTCCGTGGTTCCAGTCCCGGCGAAACCATTGCTAATTTTTCATGTCTCCTGCTTCCAAATAACCTAATGACCTAATGCCTCTACAAGCTCACGACTGAAGATGAGAAGCAGGTACTATGTAATAATGCTGATTGCGAGTAAGCGAAAATATTCTTTAATTTCATCGAGAGATTAACTCCATCTCCAAAAAGTAATATTTTGTGTATGATGAGAATACTTATGAGTTTTTGCCACCAAATCAGACAATAAATTCGGAAAAACACTGTTCCCAGATGGTTTTTTTAAAAGCAGGAATCGAAGCAAAAAGCCTAGACTTGATAAATCTTTGAGAAGTTATTTTCCATCGTGACAATTCTCGGCATAACATTTTGATGAATATTAGGCGAAAACTTATTGAACACGGCTTAAAATGAAATGTTCTGTATCCTCTCCTAAATTTATTATCCTGTTGGGTTTTCATTTCTTCAGACCACTTCAGTATTCTTTGATTCTCTGAAAGGCCTAGAGTTCCCTTCTTTGGAGACAAGCAGCGCTTCGGTAGCATCTTTTCAAACAAACCTAATGACTTTTTAAAAAAATGTCCAACTGCCCCAGAAAAGGCAAAAAATTATGCTTATATGATGCAACTAAAGTTTGTTATGTTTCTACACGGCTTCATTTGTATATATCATAAAAAATGGTAGAATATGTACATCGTGTATACATATATTCAAGAATAAATTTACGGCTGAAATTCACTTCTATAAAGAACTTTCCGCACACAAATAGTTTGGAAGAATTTTTCGTATTGATACTGAAGCAATATCAGTCATGGCAGAGGACACAAACATAAAACTCTGTTACTGTTTACTCTTTAGATGTTTACTCCTCTTAAGTTCTGATGCAAGCATTTTCGTTTATTTATTAGGACAATTTATTTATGTCAAACGTAACCAGATAAGCAACAGAAAGCTCTGCAGTTTAAAGCAAAGAGTGCATCGATACAGTTTTAAGATAAGATACATAAAATATCACATCTTAAAAAACATTAACTTCTACATTCAGACATAAATAAATAAATAAAGTGAGAAATGTACGCCTATTTATAAATATGACAGAAATTAAATTTGACAGTTCGATCAGGCTGTAAATTTGTGTAGTTTCAGAACCATTTCTCAGTTGATTATAGTATTTACATTTATACAGTTGTCTATTTAAGAAATTGATAATGGACATGGTTTAAAAACCTCTACTCAGAGTTATGTAAATCTGGCACTTTTTATCAATTGCTAATTACTTCAAAAAATGATAAGTGGAGTTAATTAAAATGAAACGACGTTGTAGATATCTAAAGTATACTCGTACTGTTTTTTCCTTTTATCGTTTACAAACAAATTGAAATTTTAATGTATAGAGAAATTTTATCCTAGCGATTTCTCAGAATGGCGAATGTAATTTCGCAAATAACATGCAATGAATTTTCTTTTTACAATGAAAATTCTGCTACCAAAATGTTTGAAATGTTATAAAAAGCCTTTCATAAAAATATTATAATATAAAACACACTTTTAGAGTTATATGAGAAGCTTAAAAGAGACAGGGAATGCATCAAAGGTGTGCCCAGCTTGGTAGGCAAATGAGCAACATGTCAACGAAGTCTGGTGCTTAACGATCGCCGTTTAACAGTTATGGATAATATTGAAAGTCCGTATACCATTTGTATCCTGGTCAGCAATTTAAAAATATATTGTGTGTTTGCGACTCGTCGCTTTCCGAATTGTTCTAAAAATGTTGAATTTCTCTTCAAAACATTATTGTGTTGAAGTATGTGAGGAGATGCTTTCTCGAGGCTTGAGCATTTAAAAATGCATTATTAGCGGCGATGACATAAGAATATATGGTTTTGAAACAGAAAGAGCTGAACAATATAGTGAACAGCGCTCAAAAATTGAAGCAAGGCTAACCATACCTCAGAATCGGTAAAAAATCAAGGTAATATTGACCGTTTTCGATTATTGTGATGTTACGCATCATGAATTTCGACCAGCTGGGCAGTTGTTATCATAGAATATTATTCGAATGTTATTGTCTCATTGGCTTGAAGTGGTTCGTAGAAAACAACCAGAAATTTAGTCAGATAATTTTATGAGTTTAGAACTACGATAATGCACCTGCTCATTATGCTGCTATTTTTAAATTTTTACTCAAAATTTGGCAAATATGATTTTGAAAGATTTCATGTTCACTTAATATGGCAACTGTGTGACTTTTTCTTAGTTCCTCTATTACAACTGCTAGTTTGTGTTCACTTGTGAGTATTGATGCAAAAAATAACATTTTTTAAGAGATCTGAGCTGGTTTCACGAAAATGAATTTAAAATATTTTTTGGAAATTGTAAAGAACGTCTTTGTAATTGCAATGCAGTCAGGGGATTCCTGGAAGGGATGTAATAAATACTAATCAGTGAAATATTGTATTTTATTAAATATTTCCTGATATTTTTATCACGGTAATGTATCATAGTTTACTTATTTGATTAAAAAAATGGGAGGAAGGAGTTTGCAAGGAATCAAAGTTATTAATCCCAAGTGCTTTTTTGGTGCAGTATGAGTCTAACATTCGGAGAACCCGGACTCATGGCGACAGCCTAGTAAATGTTTAAAGATTCTTCGTTCCCAAAATCTTGATGCCATTACAATGGACCCGGAACTAAAAAGTGGTGGCTTATAATTCATCCATCAGCCTGAAGTGGTAAGCTTGGTTTCATTTCTTCCCTCAGAAGCGATTCAGGAATAAGGAAGACTAGGTAAAACATGAGGCATTCTTCACTATGTGTTCTTATACTGTAGAGGTTAGAAAATTATTTAGGTTCGCTGAAGATGCAGGTTCAGTTTTCAATGAATGGGAAAGAATTTCGCAAGTTTAAGCTTCTATAACAAGGGTTCTCAGCCTTTTTTGCTTCATGTACACCTTTCATCATTGTTAGAAGATCATTCTCCCCTTCCTCCCGCACACTCGAAAAATACAAATACATTTATTCACATTTAGATTATTTTTTAATAGTAGAATAGGAAGTAGGTGGAGTCAAGCTAACGGCATTCCTCCTTGAAACTATAAAATCTCCCTCACGAGGATTTCCCTGGTTGAGAACACTTCTATAATTTTTTAACATCTCCCACAATGCAGTTAATTCTAATTTTAAATTAAACTCTGTCTGTTTTTATCTCAGGGAATAAATCGTTAATCCATTAAAATCTTGACTGTATGACTGTATTATGCGATATCTCAATTGAGTGAATTCGCCAGAGCGCAGCAAAGTTTAAAGTAAGATGAGCTGTTGTGCTTTGTAACTTAACTGATGAATCATAATCTCTACATCTAATAAAAGAAAGAGTCTGTGTGTCTTTCGTTCGTGCTGCGCGTAAGCTAATAGACCCAGGGCTACGAAATTTGGTATATAGGTGCATCTAGACAAGAGCCAGTGCACTCCGAAGCAATTTTTTTCAAAATTCGAATCAGATTTTTTTTTCAATTTTATCTTTTCGATTTTATCTCATCATTTTGAATAGTTTCATTCTTTTAGAAATGGGGTTTTGGCAACAGTATTTTATTGAATTGTATACAGGACTGCTGACTGTTGAAAATCAGCGCTGTTGCCATTTGGGAAAATGAGAGCGATAATTCTGTGCAGTTTTTAAATTTAATATTTCTCTTGGATACTGGACGTTTGTTGAGAAAAGGCAACTGGAAGTTGGTTAATCTATTTATTAGGATAACTAACATTTGTATTAAGGGATATTGCTTATTTCATTGTAATTTTGTTACATGAAATACTTATTTTTTTTTTTTTTTTTTTTTTTATGTTGTTCTGCAGAGTAAAATTCTGCGCAGTTTTTTAATTTAACGTTTACTGTTCCCTTCAGGCATTTTTTCGTACATTTAAAAGTCAGACGAAGGCTGGCAGCATAGATGCTAGTGTAAACATAAAATATTATTTCTGAAGTAACATTTCTTTTAGCAATAAATAAAATAGAGTTTTACAAGTTGCTGAATTTCTGCCTCATTCTCTCGAATATCTGTTTAAATAATTCATCATTTGAATGCAATTTATTCCCAAAGCGGAACAGTTATGTACTCCGCCGTCCTGGTCAAAAAAGCTTTGAATAATTTAAAACAAATTAAGGAAGCAGTTTTGGCTAACTGCGAAGAATACTGTTCAAAATCCCCTTTTTATTTTCTGTGTTTATTATGATATCTTATAATTAAAGTAGTTGCCTTCCGTTTTCTTTCTTTTTAAATTTCAATTCGTTTTTAAGATTTTAATTATATTTGGGAATTTAATATATTTGAATTTAATATATTATATCTCCAATTATCATTAACTTATTAACATTTTCACTTTAAAATTATCAATTACAGATAAATTTTTATTTCATCTTATAATTATCAATAAGTTTTTTAATTATTAATTACTTATTAACTGATTTATTTATCTCCGCTGTTCTTGAAGCTCTCCATAGCGCTCTAGCATTTCTAATTTTAGAAATAAAGTCTCTTTTTATCTACAGTTTTAACTGTGATATAACTACCGTGAACTTGAATTATAACTTTGTTCTTTCTAAATGGAAACTTTCTCTAGACACTTTTATTCTCTTAAAGATATCGGTTAATGACACTCATTCAAATTCTGCATTTCGAAACCTCAAGCTTAACAGCTGCATGAGTAACAAGATTACAACCGTAGACACATCCGCGGGACAAAAATGGAAGTCCGCTTTTCGCTCCGCGCCGTAGATCGAGTTCCCGCCCTCGTGAGTCACGTGATCGATGAGGTCATCGCCGACTCGTAGTAGAAAGCGGGCCCGCGGTATGGATGAGACCAAGTTTTCATACACCTGTGGAGTGAGCGCTGTCTGTTTCTATCAATCACTTCCGAAAAGAACGTTGTCCTTTTAAAATCGCTTTCTGCAGTGGAAATTCGTGAATCTTTAAAATCGAATACGGATACAGCTAAAATCAAGCTTGGAACAGCTGTTTGGTGAGCTTGTGAAAATGAAATTAGTTTTGTTTTTTTATTTATTATTTACTTTGAGGCAGAGATTTATTATTTTTATTTTTCTCCCTATAAAATAAGTTTATTGTAATTTTCATTTTCCATCTAGCATCTGCTTTAAACAAAAAAGTACTTAGAATATAATTTTTTAAAAAACTATATAAATTGAACAAATCTGTTGCATTTTTATGACTGATAATTTCCACGATTCATTTTTCCCGATATCTTAGCAATTTTGTGATTTTCTTTTGCATCTATAAATAATTTTCCACATTTCCTTTTATTTATTATTGGAGGAGTTAAAAGCAGCTAGAATCAGCGCAACTAACTTTAGAATTTTAGCACTCATAATAAATACAGTTTATTCATGTAAATCTTTTTCTTCTGTCTTATATTACTTCAAAGAATATATAAAATTTCAGTTGAAACAAACTACGATAAATAAAAATTTCCAATTGTTTTAAAGTTAAACAAAATACGATAAAAAGGTTTTCAGTTCATTTAAAGCTAATAAAATTTCGTTTGTATAGTTGCTTACTTGCCACTAAAGTTTGGAAGTTCCGACTGTTGTATTTTTTTTTTTTTAATTATGAGTAAATTAAAGAAAAAAAAGTAAACGAATTTTGAATATTTCGCGGGTGCAAAAGTATCAGATAGTGTAAGCTGATGTAAATGAGACTTATCGCCATCTATTGAGAGGGAGAAAATTAAAAATGTAATATCTTAAAATTTAAAAACATAAGAGATAACGTTTCGCAGAACTTTTACCAGATGCGTTTCTTCTGAGTGTGAAAATATTCCGTTTAAAAAAAGTTTGACAGTGCACTTTTTTTTTCTTTTTGGGAAAGAGCTGTGATATTAAAAAAAAATAATCTATATAATGAGTATTATTATCATGAGTGATATTATTATGAGTTCACAGCATCATAAAAATGCTTTTATGTAATTTTATTATTTTAGTAGCTTATGAAAATACTTTCGTAGATATAATATGTTGATTTTGTTAAAGCTTTGTGTTTTCCATTTAAGATAAAAACCAATCGTAAGAGATTCAAAAGTTTCTTTTTCAGCTTATAAGTAATTTTTTTTTTTTTTTTTTTTGCTTCTTTATTTTGGGGGGGGATTCTAATTAGAACATTAAAGAAAATCGAAGACAGAAAAAGCTATTAAACATTAGTTTTAGGAATAAAAATATATTTTTCAAATGATGGAAATATTTTATATAAAATTATTTCTGTTCTCAAATGCCTTTGAAATCGTTTTCACCTTTTTTTTTATTTAATTATTTTTTGAGATTTCTAAAAATCGGTTTGCTTCGACACCTTTTTAATGTGTGAACTTTTTTACTCTAATTTCCTTGAAGTTTCTGATATCCAGTAAAAAATCTCGTAGTTAATAATAAATGTACACTTTGATGGACATACAAGCGTTAGATGCATGTATTTACGATTAAACCATTTTTTAAAAACATGTTTAATTAATGAATCATGTTTATCTGAAACACATATTTGCTTTTTTAATTCTAAATTTTGAAGTTAAGGACACAGTTTATTATGATTTGTTAGAATAGGATTATTTTACTGGCAGCTATCTGACTACGGAAGAGAAATGCAGTAATGTGAACAACCTAAGGAAAACTTACGTGATAGTGCATGAAGAAAAGCTTCTTCATATAGCTCGTTCCATTCCCTGGGAGCAAATTCCTGGGAGAACTGCTTGCGTTACTCAGTTAGTTATTTATTCTGGTCATAATAACATTAAAGAAGGTTCCCCCCCCCTATTTAGTCAATTGAGGACTGTCACTCAACTGACCATTGTGGGTCCTGTGTGTTATTCAATGTAACATCTAAAGGAGTTGAATAATTTACAATCTGCTTTTTAATGCAGTTAAATAATGTAAATTTAAAATATCAGTTTTTTTTTTTTGGTTAATTCTTTTGTACGTTTTTTAATTTTGCTCTGTAATAAGTTTTTAATGTAGTTGCATTCGTTTCAAAGAAGATTGATTTTAAATTCAATAAAGGAAACAGAAAAAGTCATTTCTTTTTGCTTTCTGAGGTAATTAAAATGAGCATCTAAATTGGTATTATTTCATTATTCGAAAGCACATTAAGATTATTCTCCTGTAGAAAAGGATGTTTTCGTAGAAGGTTAGGCTATCTGAATATGGCAAAGCAAAGAGAGATATCTTTTTAGGGAATGGGATGCTTTTGTTGAGGTCTTTCTGAGAGAATCTGACTCGTATTTACATTACACATGAAGATTCGTTTGTTTCGTTTGATTGTGGTAAAACACGTGAAGGATTCTTGCCTAAGGGAAGGAATCGCTCGAGGGAGAATTTTCTAAGGTAAACTGGCTTGTATAGGCGTTAGGAAAAACTATAAAAAGCAACTATGCAGCCAGCCCGTTCGCCTAGGATTGAACCCGGACAGAGCTCCCAGTTTTTAGCAGCTTCAACTCCGCTCGCTAGTGGGGCGAAGAATGTGTAAGATCGCTGAATATTGATAGTTTGGCCTGATTTTAAATTTCGGCAAATCAATTGGCTGCAGGTGTATTTTGGTGGTTTTTCCCAATGTGTAATGTGAATGCGAGTCAGTTCCCCCTTTAGAAAGTCCTCCACGAAAGCGTACCTTCTCTTACGCTAATAACCCAGGTGGAGTTACCCATAAATGAATTCAAACTCTTTAATGCCAAGAGGGACAAAAAGGAAAAAAAGGCAGTTACGGCAAAATACGCGTTGCCATTTTAAATCCCATTCAAACGTTTTCGTTAAGTTTAAATAGCATCGCTTTTGATAGAGAAACTTGAGAAATTTTTTAACGTTTTCTTTTCTTTTTTTTTGGGGGGGGGGGTAAAAATACTGAGAAAGAAGCGGGGAGGTAGACTAAAAAAAAATGAAAGTAAAAATTATTTGATTGTGCATGTATATAACTTTTAAAAATCTTAAAGGATTAAGATTTTAACGTCGAACCAGAGAAGTTTGTTAAGGTTTTTTTATGCTCTCGCTGAGCTCGCAAGTTGCCAATCTGCTGTTGGACTCACTCCTGCTAAGACAGCTTTTCTTTATCCTCTTTTTAACTTTATTATTAAACATCTCTTTCTTCGCACTTACATCACATAAACAACAGTAAAATCGCAAAATTTTTTAAATTAGCATATTTTTAAAATTCCCGATGGCGTGTTAAGTGTTGCCACATTTTTTAAAATTCTCCATACGATTCCTTTAAAAATAATATGTGGCCTTACCATTTGATGGCAACATCCTCTTATTTGAAAAGTGATAGGGACAAGAAAGAAAGGTTCGAGAATAATAGCACTTCTAGTGCTAATATATAAAATAAATAAATAAAAGAATTTTGAAAATTTAAACATGTGCATTGCAACGAAATACATCTCCACGGATTGGGCTGATATTAAATATCGTTAACGCTATCTATTTAGCTGTGGCTTAGACTCCTGCATATTTTGCTAGTGTAAATGTTTCTGTGATACTTAAGACTTGTGGCTATGCCATTAGCTATTGATCCATAGTACGAAAATGATTTAAATCTTCTCTTGTGATATAATTAGGTCTCGCTGCTTAGCAACATAGCTCTGTTTATGCTAGTTGGGATAGTTAACGTTTCGATGTGTTGTGGGACCAAGGTCTAATGATTTTCATGTTATCTCATATTTCTAGGTAATCGAAGTTCTCTTATATTTCTAGTTAATAAATAACAAAATGTAAAAATTGAAGAGATTTGCTGAATATTGCATCATTTGAACTTTATGGAAGCTTCATACGGTATCTTATTTCACTCTATTTTTTCCCCCTCTCGATTATTTTACATCCTGTTTTGTTTTTATAAGTTTTTGGAATAAATATTTTATTAAAATTGTATTAGTTGAATGGAACTACTGCATTCCTCCTTGCATGTTTTCGAGATGGTATTGCTACCAAGTGAAAGATTAGTGGTACCACTTTCGGCGAAGGTACAACTGATTTTTCATATTTCTTGCTTCGTAAAACTTAATAGTCTCTAAAGGTGAAATTTCGTCATCACCTGAATATGGTCGACTTGGTCTCATAACTCTCTTCTGTCACCCTTTAACACGTCCAGTCGTTGCCATAATATAAGTGGGGTTTTTGATATTATTTACAAGAGATAAAATACTTCAGTATCGTAGCAGTATTTTGCTTTAATCTGGTTAGTTGACTGGGACATTATGACAGTGTAACAAACATATCGATATATGTAAAATTTGGTTATTTTATTTTACTCATTAACTAGGTGCCAAGCAAAAATTCCAGACTTTTGTTTATTGTAAAAATGATAACGTATACTAACGAACGTAAAGGAATGAAAAGTCTGGCTTTTGAAAACGTCGTTGATTTCACATCGTTGATTTCACATTCAAATTAAAATACCTAGAAAATAAGGGTTTAATTAGCACCACAAAACGGCTTCGGGACCACGAACGTCGCTGCTACATCACAAGCATATCAGAAACCAATTCTTGTGTCAATCGAATGCAACCAATCCACATTATTTTATATGACTTCTGCGTAGAGGCCTACCATGAATCGAGCGGATAAAGCCTCTATCTGTTATATCATGGAACAAACTGAGGCTGACCGGTTGGCTACGTAGGAGTTTTCGTGGTTTTTGTCATGCGTAACTTGAATCTTAGCCAGCTTTGTTTAGAAAATTTTCACCAAGGCATCTTTCTTTTGGGCTAATAGGTGCTTTGGTATAAATCTAATAAAACGAAAGCTTCTTCGTTATGGATTCGTTTCATAGTACGATTGTTCTTTTTAAGTATAGTAGAACCTCGGTATACGTCATTAATTCGTTCCAAATCCTTGGACATATACGAAAAGAATTTTTGCAGAAAGAAATAAAGGGAAAGTAATAAATCCGTTCTAGCACAAAAATGCTATTGTTATTATTTTAACAATGTTTAATACTAAAATACAAATGCAGTAGTGAAGTACATATTGCACA